GCATGGCATTCAAGCCTGTTCATGCCTGAATCGAAGAGGTATACAGCTGTGCTGCTCAGTGCAAGTACTCATTGTCAAGTGCAATTCGTTTTGATTCACACCACAGCTGACTATTTAGTGTGATAATCAGCACAGTAACCCTGATTTCATGCTTTTCTCTATTGATCCTATAGCCAAAGGTTTAAACGATACTGAAATGCTTCGTTGGGTTATTTTCTATCTTCTCTCGAAAAGCAACTAGTGAGGGCCTAGTTATTTTCAGAAACCTATGATTTCTCATTGTAAGAATACATTTCGAATGCTTCTAGGGATATTGGTTTCGCTTCATTGGGAACTGAGGTTTGCAACTGTTACACATGGTACTGTAAATCTTATAAAAAGCAGTACAAAACGCTGTTTGCATGCATGCAACGCATGTAGTTTGATCAATCGAATGACTGACCAGTGCCAATGTGTCGATCCGTATCTCGCGGACTTTCCTCAAGGTAGATAGATGAGTTGGATTAAAAAGCTGTTCTTGTCATTCGCAGTGGTTTGCATTTTCGGAGTGACGAGATCCATTAAAGTTGGTACTGATCATCATGCGACTGACCAATTAGTTTGCTCGCTTTGTGTTGCATTGAAGACACCAGCGCGCGAATGGTACTCAGATTTCAGATCCAGTACATCATATGGTAGGTATGAGAAATCTTGACTTAGTTTCGTTTTTGCGTTGTAGCTTCCCTGGACTGATCAACCGTACTATATCACTCATGTTATTCATTGTCAGGTGAATGTCGACCATGTACCGCTATTTGTTTCTCTGTACCAAGCAGAGGTGCTGATAAGAGACTCAGTGCAACCAAGCATATTCCACAGTTTGTATGCCGTCATTATGATTTTTAGTCCATATGGACTTGGATATTTTTCGTTGGCCACCTGTCCGTTTTGACCGGTTTTCCACTTGTGAATCTGCGCAGCATCAGCATGCATACCAAGGAGTTTGTTTTCTCTCAGCTATTCGAACATTATATATCTTGCTATACCCTTTCCGGATAGTAGGCCGATCACCTCCTCAACACAAAGTCCGCATCAGTTCATTAGTTTAGTTCAAGAGAAGGCCTCTGATTCATCAGATTGCTAGAAGGATAGGTATGTGATTATGGCTGTGGATATTGACGAAATTTGAAAGCCTTGAACTGTCCCAATTATGCGCTTCTATTCTTCTGTGCTGCTGAATGTAGAGTCACTTAGACAGAACTTAGCATCCTTAACTCTCATTTTAACTTGAAATCTTGTATACATGTGGCAGGTAAATTAAATAATTACTGCTTGTCACTCCAAATACTAAGCTGTTGAACAGTTGCATTATGCATTTAGGCGGAGTTTCTTATACGCATTATATAAATATCCGTTTTTGTTGACCATGTTCATGTTGTGAATACTTGATCGAGCAACTTGTAGGAGCCAGAGAAGAAAGAACCTCCGCTATGCGCTTCTTGTGGTCAAGAGATTTTTGGGCCTTGCATGACAGCGCTTGCTCCGAATTCGTCTTGTGCCCAGAAGTATCATCCTTTCCACTTCATTTGTACGTACTGTACAAAGCCACTGAACCTAAGAGGCACATACAAAGAATACCAGAAGAAACCCTACTGCCACGAATGCTTCTACCGACTATACAGCGGACACATTTATGAAATAAGCTGAAAATTGCGTGTTTTGTCAATATATGTAATTATGCAATAATGCATGAAGTATTGATTACTTACGTACTTTCAGTGCTGTAGTTAGACAGAAAAAAGTCAGACTACGATGCAGTGATGCTTTAATAAAATGTGGCACGCTTTTTCTTACCTTTGTCAGTATGTGCTGCCAGTTTGTTTGTACACACGCTCTGTAGTATACTTGTTTATTTAGGTATGGACAATAAATTTACATTTTGCTTACGCTACCTGAAATATTTGACTATTTCTAGTATTGTTAGTTTTAGTTCGCTAACATATTTTTAAAATCGTTTGCAATAATTTTTTTTACCAGAGCAATTGTTTCGGTAATAAAAGTGGAATTGAAATTTGAATCGGATTGAAAATGAATACATCAGTTGAAGTTAAGTACGTGCATGCTTAAAAATTGATTTGAATGCCTACATTTTTTTGAGTTATATATTTGTAAACTCGGTGGCCTGAAAATAAATTAGAATTTCTAGCGAAATAGTCGTGGAAAGGGAATGGCCTAACGTTCAAAGTTACGTTAGTGAAACTTTTCGATGCAACTGAAATTGCCTATATTCATAGAACCTGTAATAGCGTTCCGTTTCCAGACTCTTACCCTGGTATCATTCAGCAAAACACAGACAGCAAAATCTGTAGTAACACTTCCGCTTTGTTGAGATGAGCGTGCATTGCCGTTTTTTTGAAACCGTGAGAAGGGCTAAAAAAAGTGCAGAACGAAACGTGAGCACATTTGCAATACCGATACTGGATTTATGCAGTGAAATGATACTGTGAAAAAAATAGACTTCATTTGCTTTACAGCGATACTGTCGCAGCGTAAGACCGGTAGAAGCCTTTACATGGGTTGTAAGAGAAAATTGCACCGCCTCCTCCCATTGCTTCTAGTCACACGAGGAACATTTAAACAGCCACAGCTCCATGGCATTTAAGCGCCTGCAGTGCATTGGAATCATGGCCACGTGTCTAAGTTGGATTGACCAAGGGCATGTTGAGGCCCAAACGTATTTGCAACTATCCGCAGGGAAATACTTTGTTTTGTTTTGCTTGGTGCGTTAATAAATTGACTTATATCGCCTGAATAAGTGATCGCCTGGAAGTGATAAGGATGTCCGCTCCGGTAGGTTGAGGTGGTGCTGCTGCTGTCTAACTATATCTTTCCGCGAGTAAAACCTGATAAAATGCTTCCATTCTCTGAATCCATTGGGCTGGATGGAGGTTGGCGAGACTTTGCAATGGTTCCCGATGATTGGCATCCATATTGGACTGCCAAGCATTTATTCGCTAAAAATCGCTCAGGGATTAAAGGAAACCTGGAAAAAAGCATCAGGCTATCTCGTCGGCCTAAACAGCAGCCGTGAATCTATAAACCACAGGAGGATTAATGAAAGGACCCGGCACATCATAAAACTTCGTGACCAGGCATAATGCAAAAACGCCCTGGACGTGCACATTTATCGATATCTACATAACAGAAACAGAGAAGATCAAGGCGAGCGTCA